AATGAAAAATATATATATAGTAAACTAAATGAAATTTATTTTCCCCACATACACCAAACCTGCTTCTTTTGTGCGCTCTATTTTGCTGAATGGAATCCATTTAGTTGTTGAAGCCAGAAACCCATATCAAGTTCATCATTAAATTCTACTATTCCACCTCCTAAGTTGCTTGATAACCACTTCTCTCCATACCCACTAGCTACCAATACCATCTCTAATTTAAATTTTTACAATAGCCTCCTCCCTGATTTCTTTGTCCCTATCCCCAGGTCTCAATCCAATCTCCATTCTACATCCAGAATAATATTTCTAAAATAAAAATCACATAACTTTCCTGTTTAAAACTTTTAAATGGCTCCTCATTGCACTCAGAACAGTGCAAACTCTTCCACATGGCTTATGAAGCCCTTCAAGAGATGGCCTATCTAGCCTCATCTCTCAACTACTCTCATTAAAACTAAATCTCCACCTCATATAATACTAAGTTCTTGAACAAACTATTTGTTAGATATCTGATATAAAATGTTCTCTCCTCCTCTCTGGTCTTTACCCATGTTCTGTCTGCTAAGAATACTTTTCTCATGCCCACTTTTTCCCCTTGTCTCTCCTGTTATCCTGGCTAATTCCTTGTCCATTAAATCTCAATTTTTTAAAAATGTCCTGTCTTCCAGGAAGTCTTCCTTTATGCCTCTTATAGAGTCCAGAATTAAGTTTCTTCCCATGTGCTCCCACAGTATCCTAAATTATCCTCATCGAGGCATTCATCATACTATATCATAAGACATAAGAATGTAAGTGCCCTAAGGGCAAGAGTAGTGTCAGTCTTATTCATTATTGTGTCCTTAGTACCTAGCATAATGGTTGGCGCATATTAAAGTTATTAAATAAATCAATATTTTAAATCAGAGACCATTTTTAAAATAAGATTATGATCTTATCAGAAGTCTTATAATGTATATTAGTATCAAACAGAAAATAAAATTTGCAAATTTGTACATTTTTGGAAATCCAACTTAATGGAATTTTGTTCTAATGTAATAGAAATTGTATTTAATATTATGTCATGGTTAGTTTTCCCTCTTGATATTTCACACCAAATGAAGAGAGATGAGCACGAAAACTTAACAAATAACTCATCTTACTGTATTTTCTTACTGAGAAAATTGATTTCAATATGAAGAAAGAGGTAACATTTTATTCCTCCAGTTGATAATGACAAGGAGATAGTAATGATTATAAAAAAAAGAAGTGATGGCAAACAGTAAATTATCACATGGAATTAGTAACATGAATAAAACTGGGAAATCCAACAATTTGTAGAAATTAAACATTCTTAAATAACCAGTGACTCAAAGAAGAAATACCAGGGGAAATTAGAAAATACTTAAAGACAAAAGAAAATGAAAACGCAACATATCAAAACTTATAGTATACAATAAAAGCAGTGTTAAGAGACTAATTTATAATTATACATGCTTACATTAAAAAACAAGAAAGATCTCAAATCAATAACCTAACTTTACAACTTAAGAAACTGGAAAAACAGGAACAAACTAAACCCAAAGCTAGCAAAAGAAATATAACAATAAAACAGAGGTAAATCAAGTTGAGAACAGAAAAACAACAGAGAAAATTAATGAAACCAAAAGTTGGTTCTTTGAAAATATCAACAAAATTGGCAATCCTTTACTTAATCAACTAAGAAAAAAGATTCAAATTACTAAAATCTGAAATCAAAGTGTGGACATTACTACCAATTCTACAAAAATACAAAAAGATTATATGACAGTACTATGAAAAATTGTACACCAACAAACTGGATAACCTTAACAAAATGGACAAATTTCTTGAAACACAAAACCTATCAAGACTGAGAAAGACAGAGAAAATCTGAATAGACCCATAACCACTAAGGAGACTGAATTGGTAACTAAAAGTGTCCAAAGAAATGCCCTGGATCTGGTGGTTTCACTGGAGAACTCTACTGAACATTTAAAGAACACACACCAATCCTTCTCAAACTTTTCCAAAAAAATTGAAAAGAGAATACTTCCTATCTCATTCTATGAAGCCAGCATTACCATTATACCAAAGTCAGGCAAAGACACTACAAGAAAACTACAGACCAATATGTCTTATGAATATTAATGCAAAAATCCTCAACAAAATACTAGCTGACAGAATTCAGCAGCCTATTAAAAGGATGACCAAGTGGGATTTACTCCTGGGATGCAAGGATGTTTCAACATAGGAAAACTTATTATTGTAATACCACGTTAACAGAATAAAGGGGAAAAAAAACTACAGGATCAATGTAGAAAAAATCTGATAAA